TTTCAAACTGCCCGAACCGCCCGATTATAAAAAAAAATCCGATTATAAAATAACTTAATTAAATAATATAATATTTTTATAATATTTCAAATTTGTTTTTTTTATTTTACAAGATAATGACTCTGTTGATTTAATTAAAAATAAAAATACCATATCTTATATTTCCTAATTTATTTTTTCTTTTTTTTTTAATTATATACCTAAATTTTAATTCTAAATTTCAAATTCCCCTACAATTCTACTTTTATAAGGGAATTGCAACTTTATTCTTAAAACCCTACCTTCTTGAGTAGCGTGCACTTGCCAAGGTTGTCGTTTTCATTTTGTTGGGTTGTTGTCTAGGTTGTCGTCTTCATTTTGCTAAGTTTATTCTTAAACACATAATATGGGTGTCGACACCATGGGTTAATAGTCTAGAATCAAACTTTCTGTTTCTTGTTTTGTGTCGTTAAGTAATTCAGAGTATCGGCATTATACGTTCAGCGTCGAACATTCAAGTTTCTTATTCTGTTTCAAATCCTACTTCTATTTCAATTAGGGTTTCTAAAATCTTATAAATACCCATCCAAATTCAGAATTAAAAGAGCTTAGGAGGCTGTTGGCAACCCTCCTTTGGGTATTCTTGGAGATCAAGATAAATATTTAAGAATTTGTTTATAATTTCTAAATCTTTTCAATTTTTACAATGGCAGAATACCCAAATCCACCCCCAAAGTATAATGGCAGGGACAGATCCACCCTCGAACAATAAACGGGGACAAATCCACCAACAAAGTTTTCGACTTGGACAAATCACCCCAAATTTAACGTGTGACGTCATTTGACATCAGCAATCTGTTAATTTGACATCAGCAATCTGTTAATTTGACGTCATCTGACGTCAGTAATTTGTTAACGAATTAACGAATTGCTGATGTCAAATGACGTCACACGTTAAATTTGGGGTGATTTGTCCAAGTCGAAAACTTTGTGGGTGGATTTGTCCCCGTTTTTTATTCGAGGGTGGATCCATCCCTACCACTATACTTTGGGGGTGGATTTGGGTATTTTGCCTTTTACAATTGTAAAAGGGTATAAGAATTTGTTTATAATTTGTTTATAATTTGTACTTTTTTTAATTATTTTTCTATTTATTTGGATATTAACATATTTTATATTTATGTTTTTTACTTAATGTTAAATTTATTTACATTATCTCATATATTTAATAATGTTAAAAACCGATCAATCCGATTGAACCACACCGATCCGATTTAAATTGGATTGGTTTGGTTATCATATAATAGTGGATTGGATTGGTTTAAAAATTTTACTAATCGATTAAATTGGATTGGATTAAAAAATGTTAAAATCCGAACCAAACCACCCCGCGAACACCCCTACCCACGCCGCCGACTTAATCCCCAGCACCCATTATTTTCACCCCATTCTCCCGCTGCAATTTGTCATCTCCGTCGACAGTAACCCCTACTTCGAAGGACGGTAAGTGCTTTATTTTCTAACTATGCTCTATCTACCCAAGAAAGTCAGAAAAAAATATTACTCCTAGATTATCTTTTATTACAGGAATTAAGATGAATTCTTCTCCAATTTCACAACAAATGTCTCAAAATGAAATTGATGGGAACAACTAC